CCTACTTATTTTTCTAGCAGCTTCAACTCAAGCAACCTTTTCCTTAGCCCCACTACAGTAATGGAAAGACCAGACCTGCAGGGGCCTAAAGCTTTAGTATCTGAGGAGCGGAAGTTCAGAGAACGTTACCTTATATAGGATGAGCTTGTAGTATCCCATCAGATCCCTTAAAACTTCAGAATCTTATTTCCACATGTTCAGTCTCGATGTTGACCTGGCAAGCCAAGGCAAATAGTTTAGCAAAGATTTCTGTGTTTTATGTTCCCATTTAAAAAAAGCTGAGGCATTTAGAACAGCAGTACATTTTGACTAACCTTAAAAAAATATATATCATTGACTCTGAAGGGAGCCCAGAATATAACATACCAACATCTTTCTGCAACCCATGCAATCGCTGATATTTGTTAAAGAACAAAGTGTTTTGAGATTCTTCCAGTGACCTGAAGGTGTAACATTCATAGTACCATATATACTCGTTCATTAGTCCGTTCATTTATAAGCCAACCCCCCCCGCCCCAATGTATAGGTAATAGCAAAAACTGTATGACCCTTTCATAAGCCGACCCTATATTTCAGGGGTTGGAAAACGTTGGCTCCCGGCCCATCAGGGTGTGCCGCTGGCGGGTCGGGGCGTTTTGTTTACCTGGAGCCCCTCAGCTCCCTGTGGCTGCAGTTCAGCAAACTGCGGCCACAGGGAGCTGAGGGGCTCCATGCCTGCAGATGCTCCAGGTAAACAAAACTACAATGTAGTAGATCAGGGATCGGCAACCTTTGGCCCCCGACCCGCCAGGGAAGCGGCGCGGGCTGAGGGATGTGCTGGCCACCGCTTCCTGCTGCCCCCATTGGCCTGGAGCAGCGAACCGCAGCCAGTGGGAGCCACGATCAGCCGAACTTGCAGACGCGGCAGGTAAACAAACCAGCCTGGCCCTCCAGGGTGCTTACCCTGGCGGGCCGCGGGCCAAAGATTGCCAATCCCTGTATTAGATATTCAATTCAATGATTCCATAGAGTTTTAAAATCATCACATTGTGGTATAGACCCATTTATAAGCCGACCCTCTCTCTTTGATGTGTCACTTTTTTACCAAAAATATTCAGCTTATGAACGAGTATATACGGTAGTTGTCATACATCAGAAAATGAGGCAGTGTTCTTGTGTAGAGAGAAGCCAAAAGGTAGAACAGGACTCCTCAACTTTCCTTGTAGACATGGTTGTATCTTACACAATGAGCAACATTCTGACTTCAGCTCAAATTTTGATCACAGCTTCAGATTCGGTGATCAGAGCCCACCTGTTCGTTGCAAAAGGGTACAAGTATGTGTCTATTAGAAAATAATTATTTGCAAGCACAGTAATTACCAGAACAGTGCTGTATGCACAACAAACTTGACCAACTCTCCCCCCTCCCCCCCCAAAAAAACAAAAAAACCTATCTCATCACTATCTTCAATGCTTTAGCCTATCATTAAGACTTGCTTTGCCTGCCAGACTTCAACTGTTATGGATAGTTTACAAACTTCACTGCAGTGTTAGCTCTAAGTAGAACTTGAGTGTTGCCCCTAACCCAACTCCCGTCTCCACACACAGATCTATAGCTCAAATTAAGTGGTGCTTTAATAGAACTTGAGCTAGTTGATCCGTCAGGAGCTGTGGGTTAAAGCTCAAGTTACAGCTCCTCAGATGCTGGGTAGCACAACTGTAGGTTCAGTGTGGCTGATCTGTAATTTGTGTGGCTTGTCTACGTGGTGGGATAATGTGATCAATACGGGTTGTGATTTCTAAAGGACACTAAAGTGTTGGACATTAATTGGTCTGTATAGATCCTGCTGGTGCACACTAACAGTTCCCTAGTGTGCTCTTAACTCAGTGCTATTTCAAATAGTAGTACTTTAATGCACACTAGGGAACCTGTAGTGCACACCAATAGGGTCTATAGCAGGGATAATCAATTATTTGTTGTCAAGGTCCAGAGTCCTGAGAAAATTAAAAAAAACAAAAAAACAGTGATAATTAAATAAAAAAATGTCAGAGTTCATTCAAAATTGGCAGTCTGGATTTGGCCCACGGTCTGCCTGTTGACTACCCCGGGTCTATACGGATCAACTAATGCACAACATTGCTGCTCTGTGAAGGCAAGCACTCACTCAAGTTAGTTTTAGATACTGAGCTCTGCAGGGCTGGATTAAGGCATAAAATAACTAAACTACAGCTTAGGGCCTCGCAATATGAGGGGCCTCTAAAAAAGAAAAAACTGACTCCATTTCAAATTTTATCAAAATCGGTTGATAAAAATAAAGGAAATATGGGAAAAAAGATTCTCTCTAAATAGAGACATTTTCGTTCAGATATGACAAATATACACATCTGGCTACACAAATACCCTTACCCTATCTGTACCCTTCATTAATTGTTCATTATTGATAGGCAGGAGACCAGGGCTGAGGGAAAAAAGATAATTGCAGTTGTAAAATTAGTATTTCTACAAGTAAGTCTGCTATCAGTCTTCTAAGGCAGTGTTTTGTTGGCCAGTTCCTACTGGTAAAATTCTGACCGTGCCTTCGTAACTTATTTAAATAAATAAAATGTCACTGCTGATAACATCGGGGAAAATGTGAGGTTGGAGACAGCAGTGTCATGAAGCAATCCTGCCAAGCTCATACTCGTATGGAACTCGTCCTAGGAGTGATATCATGTATAGCATCCCCGTTGGCCGGTAATGGCCAGAAGGCAGCCATCTTTTGTTTATGGGCCAGCATGCTAAGTCGTATAGTGCCTTCACTCCTGATTTTCTTCGTTTTCTTAAGTGTTAGTGGGTTCTTTCTTTCTTTTGATCTGTACATATGTGCAATTGAGTATTTTAGTGTGCATTCCGCTTTCTGCTTCATGCACTATCCAGGCTTCACATGATTGAGTTTGCAAGTGATCAGCTTATGGGCTTGGGTCGAGTGGATCTTGATGAGGATAAATTTGTGTTGGCTTCCCTCTATCAGTTTTGGGAACCTTCCCAGTAAATGTCGGAGAGTGCTGACAAAAAGAAATAGAGGGTTTTGAGAGAAGGGAAGGAAGATACACATATATATCAAAATATTCTGAGTACTTGGTGAGCAAGTTATTTCAAACTATGTGCACATATGATTTATAGGCTATTTAAAGCCTATAATAGTCATTATATTTGCTTTAATATAGGCTAGTTTTTCTCATTTTCTCAATGCCTGTCTAGAGATTACCAGTCTTTTTGTCTGGTAAATTCTCTCTCTCTCTCTCTCTTTCGTGCATATAGCTTGTTGTCACTCTGTGTGTCCGAGGTGTTTACTCGATATAAATTAGTGGTCCTGGGGGAGACAGGATAGAGAAGCAAATGCGAAGAGAGATGTCTGCCTAGAAAATTCTGCAAGAAAAGCTACCTGCCCTGAGCATTCTGTGCATCGAAATGACACACTCCGTAGCTTATCATTTGAGGATCTCATCAGTGACTTTGCTTTCCAAAAATCACAAAAGAAAGTGTTTTAAATTTCAGTGTTAAAATTAATGTGATGTGCAAACAGACATACTGCAGGTTGTACTGCTTCCTTAAGTAAGCTGATCTGTGTAACTGTAACTGCTTTTGTGTTGTAGATCTAAAGTTTTCATATCTACTAATTAAGAAATCATAGATGAAAATGTTAATTTGAAACTATTTTATAATGCAAACAGGCATGTTGCAAAACGTGTTTTATTTAGATTATTCTTCTAGTCAATTACAACTTTGCCTTTGTATATATGCAAATGTAAATCTTTCGTGTTCATATATTCAATGTCCTTTTTTGTGAAAATAATAAATTATTTTTTTTATGGTATGGGGCCTCTTACACTTGACATAGCTTAAGGCCTCAGAATGTCATTATCTGGCCCTGGAGCTCTGGCTACTCCACTCACCCTAGCCTAACTTGCTGTGGAGACAAGCCCTTCGCTGCAGTTCATAATAGTAATAAGCAATAACGTGAGCTTTTGTTTTGACAATTTTCATATTCATTTACTTGCAGAATTACTTCTAGGATTTTTTGCCAAGAATCTTTTACTCTGAAATGTTTCTAGGATGGCTTTGTAAATCAACCAGCAGTTACTGAAAAGAGAGCAGTGCAGCTGGTTACTCCTCCCTTAGAGAAATTGTCATCAGTGGTTTGAATCCAGTCTTTATTGGCTTAAGAGCAAATTTCTCTGTCATTGCCTTTGCTTCAGTCCCCCCCTTGAGTAGCACGGTGTACCAAGACTTGAAGCAAGCCGCAAATCTGACTAACACACACTTTTTTTTCTGTTCACATATCAGTGAATGAATGTTGTAATAGTTCTTAAGTGGTCGGTTTTAAATTTTTTGCTGTTGTAAAGACAAGGACTTAATTTATAAACTGTTTTAGTGGTTGATGTACCTCATACCCTGCTTCTGTGGATCTGTAAATAGGCAGAATTTTTATGGGGGTTTGTAACCTTCATTTGAATTGGCAATTACTTCTACAAATAGGTTAGCAGTGCCTGCTTTATTGTCACTTATGAGCAAATTGCAAAAATAATTCCCATGCAAACCATGTACATTTGGAACTGCATTCTAATTACTTAGAATCACAAGAGCTACACCAAAGTAACAATCTTTTGTTATAATAAAACCATTGCATAAAATTTTAAATAAGGTAGTTCCGCTGGTACACTATACTTCCAGTTCCAAATAGGTAGCCTGCTTAGAACTTCACATAGCAATGTCTTGTGTGTGTATTTTATGACGGGGGCAGAGAGGGGGGAGGAAAAGTAGCAAAGTGCATTCAGCACTTACGACTGTTCTGGGATGCAATGTGAAAAGTAGATGCTTGTAAACTTAGCAGTGAAAGTCTCATTTTGCAATGTAAAATAGCCATGGTCTGTTTCCTCTGAGCATATGATTGAAGCTAGGAAAGATTGAGATTATAAAAAGTGCGTACTATGTGTGGTGATTCTAATTGTATGGACTAATACTTTCCCCTTTCTTCTAGGTGAATCTGGATTGGGAAAATCAACATTAATCAACTCGTTATTCTTAACAGACTTGTATTCCCCGGACTATCCAGGTCCTTCACATAGAATTAAAAAGACTGTACAGGTATGTGTGTAGCTTGTTTTTTGTCTTGTAATTTGCAAACTGACAATAGTTTAAGATAGTGTTTTGAAGTTAGTGTCCCAAAGAAAAACCTGGCTTGTACTGTAAGCTTGTTCATATTTCTATCTATATTTTTTCTTTATAATAAATCAATAACTTGCATGTATAAATAAGCTATTTTTCTATTGTGTGGTTGCCACCATTGCCAGTGATGTGATCAAATCCCTCAGCTATCTGACAGGTGGCCACAAATCTCACTGTAGGTCCCTGATCCTTCAGTCATTCCAGTTGTTCCTGTTCAGAGGCAGGCAACTCTCTGTAGAAGTGAAGCTATTGCTTTGTAAATGCATGGCTTTTTCAATATAGATTCAATAAACGCGTTAGGTTCATGGTTTTTATTACTCTCCAAAGTTTAATGTCCTAAATGCCTTTCCTGTTTTCCAGTTGCCTTTTGAAAAAGAAGCCCTGTCTATCTTCTGACCTCTCCCCATTCCAGATTCCAAACCATCCAGCCCAGTCCTTTTCTCCTCTTTGTGCCACCCAAGTGCAGTTGTCTTGTTAAGATGATAATCTCGGACAAACTGAAATTGCAGTCATTCTTACAGAGGAACATAGCCTCTTGAATAGCTTTGTATCTTATCATTACACCAAAATGTTACAATGCTGTAGAATTTAGTGTTGATGAAATGTGGGAGCTGGGGTGAGACACTTGTTGCAGAATTCAGGTTCAGTGTACAAAACATGATAGGCATACATGTTAAAAATCGAGACACCTTTTTAACCATAACGAAAAGACTTTGCATTGTTGTGGAAAAAGTTAAATATATGCCAAAAGGTCTAACTGACCAAGGCAGGATATTCAGAGCTTTATTGAGGGGAACTGAACACTTCCTCAAATGCATTGCACTAAATTAAGTTATACAGTGCAGTTCTTCAATTTATATCCTTTCTCGTAATAGTTTTGGCCATATAAATTGTGTAGGGTTTCATATTGTTTTATTTACAGGCTTGTCATGTTGTAGTAGAATCCCAGATAACTAAGTGCAGTTAGCAAATTTAAAAACTGGAAAGTTATATTCAGGCAGAGGAAACTTTACCAGTAGGTAATTACATTTAAATATTTCAGACCAAAGATGATGATGATCAAAAATTCCTAATTTTTTGTATGCTATTTTCTTTGTATTATATTGCCAGTGATTAATCATGCTTTAAAGTGATACCATAATTTAAATAACATTTGTCTTTGAATTTTATCTACTCTTAAAAATAACATTTAGGTTTACTAGATCTGAAAGACTAATGCAAGGCAAATGTCATCTAGTGTGTTTACACCAATAATCAAATCCTAATGATGTAACATGAATTTAAATTATGTAATGTGTGCAATATAAGAGTATGCTTAAAACCATGGTTGGCTAATAGTAGTAATCTTGAAAAGAAGCAGGATGATGTATTCATATCTTATAGTGATAATTCAAAACTTTCTATTCCCTCAATAACTAGGGAGGATGTTAAACAATGACTATTAATCTTTTTAAAATCAGCAGCACTGGATAACTTACACCAAGAGTAGCTCTCTGATCTACTAATTTTGACTTAACAAATCTTGGAACACTGGGGAAGTTCCAGAGGATTGGGAAAAAAGTTCATGTTATGCCGATATTTAAAAGGGGGTGTAAATGAGATGACCCCAGTAATTTTAGGCCAGTTAGCATGACATCAATCTTAGGAAAATATCTTGGAAAAGCTAATAGTGCTTGACAATCATGAGGCAGGTTATTGGTTATAGTTTTTTACTTGCAGTATTACTTCTAGGATTTTTTGCCAAGAATCTTTTACTCTGAAATTTTCCTAGGATGGCTTTGTAAATCAACCAGCAGTTACTGTAAAGAGAGCAATGCAGCTGGTTCCTCCTCCCTTAGAGAAAGTATGTCATCAGTGGTTTGTCAGACATAGATGAACATAATTTGTTGAGGAAGAGTCAACATGGTTTTAGTAAAGGGAAATCATGCCTCACCAATCTACTAGAATTCTTTGAGGGGGTCAACAAGCATGTGGACCAAGGGGATCCAGTGGATATAGTGTACTTAGATTTTCAGAAAGCCTTCGACAAGGTCCCTCACCAAAGGCTCTCATGCAAAGTAAGCTGCCATGGGATAAGAGGGAAGGTGCTCTCATGGATTGGTAACTGGTTAAAAGATAGGAAACAAAGGGTAGGTATAAATGGTGAGTTTTCAGAATGGAGAGAGATAAATAGTGGTGTTCCCCAGGGGTCTGTTCTGGGACCAGTCCTATTCAACATATTCATAAATGATCTGGAAAAAGGGGTAAACAGTGAGGTGGCAAAATTTGCAGATGATACAAAATTACGATAGTTAAGACCCAGGCAGACTGCGAAGAGCTACAAAAGGATCTCTCAAAACTGGGTGACAGGGCAACAAAATGGTAGATGAAATTTAATGTTGATAAATGCAAAGTAATGTACATTGGAAAGCATAATCCCAACTACACATGTAAAATGATGGGGGTCTAAATTAGCTGTTACCACTCAAGAAAGATCTTGGAGTTATTGTGGATAGTTCTCTGAAAACATGCACTCAACGTGCAGCGGCAGTCAAAAAAGCGAACAGAATGCTGGGAATAATTAAGAAAGGGATAGATAATAGGACAGAAAATAACATGTTGCCTCTATATAAATCCATGGTATGCCCACATCCAGGGGCGGCTCTGTTTTTTGCCGCCCCAAGCACGATAGTCAGGCGGCTTTCAGTGGTGCGCCTGCGGGCGGTCCGCTGGTCACGTGGATTCAGCGGCATGCCTGCGGGAGGTCCACCGGTGCCGCGCCTTCGGCGTCCCCGCCGCCGAAACCGCGGCACAGTCGGACGTCCCGCAGGCATGCCGCCGAAGGCAGCCTGACTGCCGCCCTCAATGCGACCGGCAGGCCGCTCCTTGCGGCTTGCCGCCCCAGGCATGCGCTTGCGCTGGTGCCTGGAGCCGCCCCTGCCCACATCTTGAATACTGTGTGCAGATGTGGTCGCCCCATCTCAAAAAGATATATTGGAATTGGAAAAGTTTTAGAAAAGGCCAACAAAAATGATTAGGGGTATGGAACGGCTTCCGTATGAGGAGAGATTAATAAGACTGGGACTTTTCAGCTTGGAAAAGAGACGGCTAAGGAGAGAGATGATTGAGGTCTATAAAATCATGACTGGTGTAGAGAAAGTAGATAAGCAAGTGTTTACTACTTCTCATAACACACGAACTAGGGGTCACCAAATGAAACTAATAGGCAGCAGGTTTAAAACAAATGAAAGGAAGTATTTCTTCACACAACGCACAGTCAACCTGTGGAACTCCTTGCCAGAGGATGTTGTGAAATCCAAGACCATAACAGAGTTCAAAAAAGAACTAGATAAATTCATGAAGGATAGGTCCATCAAAGGCTATTAGCCAGGATGGGCAGGAATGGTGTACCAAGCCTCTGTTTGCCAGAAGCTGGGAATGAGTGATGGGGGAATGGAACACTTGATGATTACCTGTTCTGTTCATTCCCTCTGGGGCACGTGGTACCAGCCAGTCGGTAGACAGTATACTGGGCTAGATGGACCTTTGGTCTGACCCAGTAGGGCTGTTCTTATGATGCAATTATTAAAGGGGGGCAGTATAATTTATGCTAGTCAAGGTGACCTTGGAAAATAGATCTTGTCAAACAAATTAGATTTAACGTTTTTGAGATCACAAATTTGGTTGGAAAAGGTACTGTTGACATAATATATCTAGAATTCTGTAAAGACTTCAGGCTTGTCTACACAGAGTAGCAGTGCAGCCTACAAGCATGTAATTTTTAAACATGCCCATGTTTGAAACAGCACTGTGTTAAAGTGCACTAGTGAACCTTTAGTGTGCACCAGCAGGGTCTACATGGACCAATTAATGTGAAACTTGTTAATGCGCTTCTAAAACCATATCTTCATATGGCATGTTACCCCACCATGTAGACAAGCCCTTAGTCCCTATAATAATCTGAGTAAAAAGCACTATACAAAATCAATGTATCCCATATTAAATGGATTAAATAAAAGTGGGTTGCTCTTCGAGTGCTTGTTCACATCCATTCCACATTAGGTGTGCGCGCGCCGCCTGCACGAGTGTCGGAAACTTTTCCCTCAACAGCTCCCGTCGGGCCGGCAGGGCCCCCCCGAGTGGCACCACTGCACCATGCATATATACCCCCGCTGGCCCGACCCCCTCCAGTTCCTTCTTACCGTCCGTGGTGGCGTTGGAACAACCTCTTGCTCTCATATGAGAAGCAATCCCTTAGCCTTAGAGTAGCTGTTATCAGTTAGTTAGCATTCCCTTGTTGTGGACACTTAATAGATTAGGTGCTTGGAGACTTCCAGCACCTGCCCCAGGCCACGGGGCATGCCGCAGGCCCACAGGTTTAAGGCTTGCGCCACATGCTGCAAACCTATGCCGGTTAGTGACCCCCACGACTCCTGTCTATGTTGCCCGGGGGAAGCACACCAAACGGAGCGGTGTAAGATTTGCAAGGCGTTTAAGCCAAGAACTAAGAAGGAGAGAGACTTTCGTTTGAAGCAGTTGTTGATGGAGACCGTGCTGGAGCCACTGGGCCTGGAGCGCCCAATGTTGGCTCCAGGTTCCTCGGTGCGGAATCCTTGCTGTGGTGGCGGTCCCAGATCGTGGTTTGCGAAGGCATCCCCTTTGCCGCACAACAGCTGGACCTGACGTTTGTGACAGACACGTCAGACCTCGGATGGGGTGCTTGGCTGGCGGGCCTCAGGACTCGGGGCTTGTGGTCGGAAGCAGAACGGTCGCTCCATATCAACGTGAAGGAGCTTAGGGCGGTTCGTTTAGCCTGCCAGACCTTTCACGCCACTCTGAGTGGTCACAGCGTGACAGTTCTGACAGACAACATGACTGCCATGTTTTCTATAAACAAGCAGGGCAGAGCCCGTTCCTCGCTGCTCTGCCACGAAGCTCTC